GAGTCATACAGCGCAGAAACAGACCCTTTGGTCCAATCAGTCCATGCTGAACATAATCCCAAACTAAACTAGTCCCACCTGCCTGCTTCTGGCCCACATTCCTCCAAACCTTTCCTATTTATGTACTTATCTAAGTTTCTTTTAAACGTTGTAACTATGCCTGCATCCACCACTTCCTCAGGAAGTTCATTCCATACGTGAACCACTCTCTGTGTAAAAATTTTGCCCTTCATGTCTTCTTAAAATCTCTCTCCTCTCACCTTAAAAATATGCGCCCTAGTCTTGAAATCCCCCATCCTAGGAAAAGGCACCTACCATTAACACTATCCATACCCCCCCATGATTCTGAGTGGCAGGTGTGCACGATATACAAGATGTACTGCAGAAACCAAGGCATGTTCCAAATCCACAACCTCCAACTATAAGGATAAGGGCATCAGATGCACGTGAACAGCACCATTTGCAAGTAACACTCCCCCCAAAGCTGCATCCCCAAACCACATATTATTTTGGTTTGTAACTACACCATCATTCCTTCACAAGAATCAAAAACTCCCTTCCTAACAGAACTATAGTTATATCTACACCACATGACTGCAGCTGTTTAAGAAGCTGATTCACCACCATCTTCTCAAGGGCAATTAGGGATGAGCCACAAATTCTGGCTGAGACAATAATATTCACATCTGGTGAAATGTTTTAAAAACAGGCTTCATATAACCAACATAATTTCCATCTATTTGTAGTTCAGTTTCCTCAAGATCAAGGAAGCATTTAATTAAAATTTAAATTACTTTTTGCACCCAATTGCATGCTAGTATATTTGGACACCCAAATCTCTGTTCCTGCATTGTTGCTGGGTTGTCACCATTTTCAATATATACTGATCTATCCAGCTTAGATCCAAAACGAACGACCTCACTTCTTCACAGTGAACTGCAACTGTGACAGCTTCACCACGGTTCTCCAATCATTTAATCAATACCCCTTTCTGTTTCCATCTACTTTATTTGTTGTGTCACCCATCTTGTTGCTGTCAACAACTTAGATAAATAGCTCTTCATTCAAGGTGATTTCTAAACAGTAAAAATTGAGTTCACCATGCAGATCCTTGATAGCCAACTTTATTTTTATTTGCCAATTGAAATACATCCAATTATCTGTTATCCATCCGCCAGACCCAACTCTATATCTCCACATACCACTATTCAACTAAGCCCAAATGATTTGTGCCCGAACATCTACTTGCTTTGGTAGTAAAGAACTTCAGTATTGCTGAAACAAGAAAAGCTTTGACAAAGCGCATCATCTTGGACTCATTGAAGAAAATTTGGAAGAATATAAATTCAAGAGGGAAAATAACATTCAGACTAGGTGAGAGGAAAGTACTGATTGGTAGCGGCATTGCCATGCCAAATGCAACAAATAATGATGATCCGCAGATAATTGTCAGATTTCATTTAAATCTTAAAAGTGGCATGTTCACTGATTGTTGAAGGCAATGCTGAGAAACAAATCAATGAACAGTTGTCACCAATTTTGTGAATTTGAAACATGTGCAGTGCTTGTACATCTTTTCTGCCACAAAACACAGGGCCCTGTGTATTAACACACATAGGCTGCAGTACGTGCAATTATGTTGCACTGCAAGCTCAACTAACGATCATAATTTGGTTATCAGCATAACTTCTCACACATTCCAGATTATCCAGCAAATGCTGTCCAATAACAGAATCACAGGTAATGTTACGCGCTGTGCTGCGGATTTTGCCAGCCTTGGCTACTTGTGTATGGTCATACCTTACTTGTTGCAGTCTTACAAACTTGATACCACACTGACACTGAAATGCATATACCATATTGCTCATTTGTGTGAAAGGCAAAAAGTCTTTTTGGCTTAATGGTAGCATCCTGTTAATGGGAGACACCATTCATGTTGCTATGATTTTTGAGATACCTTATATTTCCAGGGTAATCTAAAGTAGATTACGCACTTTCCAGGAGCAACAGCAATCACCATAAAGGCCTTTCATGACTTTGTTTAAAATCTGTGATTGGGAAATTGTTGGGCTCTATAAGCAAGGATAGGGTAACTGAACACCATACATTTTCAATTAATTAGGAAGAGCTGCATGGATTCACCACAGTTGGGTCATGCCTGAGAAACCTCATTGAATTTGTTGAAAAGGTGACTGTTTAGAAATGGTCAGGGGATTGTATATGAATGTTGTTTATATGAACTTCAGAGGGCATTTGATAAAGTCCCACATAACAGACTGTTAGCTAAGTAGAAGCCCAAAGAATTGAGGACAAATTACTGACATGGCTGGGAAATTAGTTGAATGGCAGGCAATAGAAAGTAATGGACATGTACTTAAATTGACAGGATGTGACTAATGGTGTCCCACAAGGATCTGTGTGAGGGTCTCAATTATACATATTATTTATTAATGACTTGAATAATGGCATAGAAAGTCATATTTCCAAATTTGCTGATGACACAGTTAAGTCCAGTATGAATGATAACACAGTTAAGTCCAGTATGAATGATAACACAAAATTACAAAGGAATGTTGACAGACTAGATGAATGAGCAAAACTGTGGCAAACTGAATTCGATATAAGCAAGTATGAGGTTATCTATTTTGAACTGAGAAAGGATGGATTAGGGTACTTTCTAGACTGTACTAAGTTAAATACAATGGGTGTTAGGGGTTCATGTGCACAGATCTTTAAAATGCCACAAACAAGCACAGAAAATAATCATGGCTGTTAATGAAATGTTGGCCTTTATATCTAGAGGACTACAGTGTAAGAATGCCGAAGTTATGCTGCAGCTATACAAAACCCCAGGTATATCCCACTTGGAGTATTGTGAACACATCTGGGCACCACACGCTACAGAGGATAATACTGGCCTTGGAGGGAGTACAACATATGCTTACAAGAATGATATCTGGACTTAAACCCCAAAGTTTTGAGAAGAAATGAAACAAATTAGGCCTGCTTTCTCAATTTTGAAGGTTAAAGGGGTGACCTGATCAACATCTTCGAGATATTAACATGAGAAGACAGGGTAGACAGAGAAACTATTTCTACTGGTTAGAGATCCTAGAACTAGGGGAACTCTCTTCCACAAATAGTGATAGTTGCTCAAACGGTTGCTAATTTTAAATCTGAGATAGATAAATGTTTGTTCGGTAAAGGTAGAAAGGGATATTGGCCAAAGACAGATATATTGAGTTAGGCCACAGATCAGCCACATTCTTTTTTAATGGTGGAGCAGGCTGTGCTCTATGTCGGCATTACATTTGCCGGATGAGCCAATGGCTCAAGCCCTATTTACGAAGTTGCCTACAAGGGCAATCTTGTAGCTGTGGAACTGCAGGACTGCCAAAGTGTATGCTGACCAGGACGAGCGGTTTGTGGTAGACAGTAAAGAACTCTCTGGTGAATTTCTCAACAGTAATACTGCGAAAAGACAACTCACTTGACTGTTCCACTTCAAATGTAAATCTGAGTGCAGGTTGGGACCCATTAAGATAAATTAAAATTCTTACATACCAATGAGGATTTAAATATAGCAAACATATCTTCATCACGGAAATATGCAAGGAGTAGGAAGTTGGATAACATTCCATCAAAGACATATTCCTCCTTTGTTGTTTTCTCCTTGAATTGGTATTCATCCGAATTGCCCCAATGAGCACAAGGCACAAAGCTATGACAAAATGTGTACTTTGTTTTCGTTTTTCCTTCCATGCCAATTGCCCCAAATGTTCACCCTTTGTACCTTCATGTTTTTCTGTTTTGACACCCTTGAATACCGGAATCATGGACCAACTTCCATTTATGTAACTCCCAGCCTCAAACTTTTGCCACTACACTCAATTTCACAACCAACCTGCATTTATATGTGCTTCCAAGTCCAATGTAACATGTATAAAATTCTATGATCTGTTGCATTACCAGAAGCAAATCTCCCTTAACCATTAGCTCTGCTCTCACCTACTTCCAGTAGCTCTGATCACTTAATTCATTAAAGTTAATATCTTTTCTGTTATTTGTATTTCAACATTGTTATGTTCTATTCTACCTCTTCAACACTCTTCATCCCATGTCCAACTCAAGCCCTTCACTCTTTTTTTTCTCTGAATTCCTACAGATCAGGGGTAGAGCTTTTAGCCATCTAGGCCTAGCACTCTGGGACTTTTCTCCTATATCACTCTGATCAACTACTTTCCAACCCACTTTGTACGAACCTGGCCTTCTGCCACCTCCCCTCCTCCTTTGTAAATCAACTGAATCCAAATCATTTTTGCACAACCCAATATGCAAGTTATCTAAAAATCATTATAAATGATAACTGCTTTGTAAATATATACTGCAGATTATGCAATGGGGGAAGAAACAAACAAAAGATGAATATATGTCATTTGCAATCATCAATGATTTACGTCGACATGCACCATGGTTCTCACTGTAGCGTAAAATTAAAATACATATGTTTGGGGTGCTTTGTTTACTTTTTCTTTACAGACAGGCAACACAGAACTACTACGTTGGAAGTATATTTATCATTTCATAATTATGCAACATAGAGCTGTTACAATAGGACCTTTTGTAAGCAACCAAAAGTCAGATAGCAAACTGAAATATTGCATTAACAGCCATGATGCTAGACTTTTCAAGCTGGAGAAATTGTCAATACCAACATTCATTACACACTCTGGCTTGAATGTTATACATGAATATGCATTTTACACTTTATTACCAAGACAATTTCCTGCAATTTGACCTGGATGGGGAATGATGAATTACAGATTACAATTGAGCCCATGAAATATATGTGTATATGCAATACAACCAGACCGTTTTCTTTTCACTCAGTCCATACAGTTTAAAACCAGTCTTTTTTTTTACAATGAGTCATAAACATACAATTGAGCCATAAACATACAATTGAGCAAATGGAATTGGATCACTATAGCTAATCTTACTTTTCTGTGTTGATAGCCCCTGATATGTTCCTGCAGATTCACAGCAGATATGCAAGCTACTTTGCAGATCTAGACAAAAAAAAGTAAAGAACAGAGTTAATTTTCTGACTTCTCATATATCAACAGTTAAAGCAAAATATTTACACACCTACCATGCATAAACTATGAAAATCATGCTAGAGGACAGATGCAATGACAGACTATGTTGCATAGTCTGTCATTGTAACCCGTTCCATTTGTCTCTTTGGTTCCCAAGAATTAGACTCATAACTTTTTCATTCCTTCTCGGATTGAAAATCAGAAACAAACAGAAGAAAGGTCTGCTGCATTTGTTTCGTAAAATCCTTTGCCTTTACACATTGCTACAATCAGTCTTTAGTAGAATAAGTGGATTCCACTACAATTATGTTTCTTTATGTTTTTCATCTCGCTCCAGATTCAATGTTATTTTTGGTGGCCACCAGGATACGCCATCAGCCCATTCCTTACTTTTAAACAAAGACACTGTTATTACACTCTCAAATAAATCTCTTTTCAATTGTCCACTAAAAGAACTCCCCTCACTCCCCTCTCCATTCCGTCACGATCAACAGCCACGTTTTTAGGTGCTTCATTCCTACTAGCCTAACTTCATCCTGCATTGACATGACTTTCCACCTACCTTCCCTTAATGCCATTGTAAAATTCCACTGCTTAAATCAATTTCTTGGTTACTTCATAAATATTTCTCCTTTTGTTTCAGCACCTTCATTGCCATTACAATATTATGATAAAATCTTGAAATTTTTTAATACTACAAGCAGCGTAACATAAGAACAAGTTACAGCTGCAAACTTAATCCATTTGAAAACACTTACGTCACACCAGTACTTGCTACAAGGAACATTTCTTGCACCATCTTCAAACTGTGTTTTTATGCCAGCAATATTCATTTTTTCAAATCTGAAGAAACAATGAAATGTCACTTCATTATTTCATCATAAATAGAAAAAATAGCAGCAAATAGAGTTAATTAGCAGCAAATAGATTTAATTTTGGGGCCTGACAATTCTCCATTTACTCAGACTCATAGAATGGGTATTTAATCCAAACTTAAGTATGCAGCTTTGTACAGTGCTATTTTCTACCATAGACTTGGCAATTATGACACAAACTTGGCTGGATGCAAAACTCTGCATGCTGTACACCAATGTGAGCAAAGTCCCATTCACCCATCATCTCAATGTTCACCAACCTACATGTGTTCCTCATTTGCAAAGCCTTCATTTCAAAATTCTCAATTTTATCCATGATCTCATCCTTGCCTACGTAAACTATCTACGTACAATTCTCCTCCAATTTTGGGCTCTTAAGCATGTCCAATTCCGAATTGTTCCATCACTAACAGCCCTCAGTTGTTGAAGTCCAAGCTCTAAAATTCACTCCCTAAAACGTCCTAATTAGTTTTCCTGCATCGGCAAATTTTGTTTGTTAACACTCCCTGAGAAGCACCTTATGGTATTTACTTGGTTAAAGCATTTATGTACATGCAAATCAGTGTTGTAGAAATAAGTTTTGAATTTGTTTAAAAATTCAGGAGCAGCAATACAAAAACAAGTTACATTCTTCTTATTTAAAGAATGCAGAGATTTGTTTATCCTACACTATTTTATTATTTGCCCGAGAGGACTCGCATCTCAGGCAGAATTTAGCAAAACATTTAATTCATGTGAAATGATCCATCACACGTTAGAACTGTCAAATACGAGACAACAATTAAAAATTTTAAAATTAATTTAACAGGGTCTCTGTGGTTTTAATCTTAACCTTTGTTTCCTGTTAAGTGAATAATATTACAGCAAATTTATGCAGTTTTAACAATTAAGGATAACATCCAAAATGTCATTAATCTTTAATTTTCAAATGCTCAATAATCTATTTCGAACAAACCTACATTTCTTTCACATGAAAGGCAACATGTAAATGCAGATTGTTGTTGCTTTCACCTCTTCTTACTAACACTTCCCTCTTTATACGCTGAAGTCCATCCAAGGTGATGACAATGACAATGGCACTTTTTGACAGAGAGAGAGAGAGAAAGAGAGACAGAGACAGAGACAGAGAGAGAGAGAGAGAAACCAGCAGCCTTTCTGCTCCTATGATGCTGCTTGGCCTGCTGTGTTCATCCAGCCCTGCACCTTGTTGTCACAAGATCAAGAACAAGAAGTGAGACCAGCATGGAACATACAAGTGGCAGGTAATGGGTTCAAAGCCCAATGACCGTAAAGTCTTAGAGTGACGTTAGTCAGAGAGAAAAACGCAAGTGATTGGTTTGAAAGTGTTTTACTTCTTTTCTATCTAAATGCTAAACTGAGATGCCAGTTGGTTTGTCTGGTTCTAGTTAAACTATTTAATGCAAGATCAAATAATTGCTGAATGATATTTCTAAACTTGAAACCCAATTAGTTGAATAAAACACAAAAAAATGGCAAGGCACATAATGGATTGCAACTGAAGCATTTGGGAACTGGTGCACCAGCAACCACATTTACACTGTTCAGAGAACTGTATATAATTTTGGTCTCTGTTTTCAAAAAATTGGCATAATTATGTTAGAAGCAATTCAGAGAAAGTTCTCTCAATTAATTCCAAGCGTGAAATGGATATCTTATAAAAACAATTGGACAAGATTTCTTTCAATGGCTTTTATGAGTTAGGTAGATTCTGGACTAACTGAGGAATCATGAGGGATAGGTATGTCAGTACCAATCTAGAGGCAACAATCAGTTCAGCTATAATCTTATCAAATGACCACTTCCTGTTCCTACTGCATGTGCTTTTTTATCTGCAGCGTGAAGAACTATAGGTACACAGCTGCAAAAAGTATCAATGGAGAAGACTCAGTTCATGCATTTATCCAACATGTTTGAGGTTCTTGCAATTTGTAAGAACAAGAGCAGGGATTGCAGGGTGGTTAAGCAACCTGAACATTCTGTGGTGCAGGAAGCCACTCGTATAGGAGGAATAAAAAGCAATGTAGTTGTAGTCAGGGGCAATATAGTTCGAGTCATAAAATGGCTCTCTGCAGCTGACAGTGTAACTCCTGAAGGTGGCGTTGCCTGCCAGGATTACAGTAGTGACCCCATGGCTAGAGAGGAGCTTGGGCTGAGAGGGGTAGGATCCAATGGTCATAGCCCATATGTGAACCCAGCCGGGAAAAAGGGCACTGCGGCATTAGAGTGGCCCTTAGCCCAACTGCAATCAGTGCCCAGGCAAATCAAATAACTTGAGCAGCAAAAAGTAAACTGACGTGGACAAAGAAGAGCTCGGGGACAGGCAAGGGCAGAAAATTTCATGATCATCTTTCATCAGAGAGTAAGGTCTAGGAAATAACATAACGTAGAGCTGGAAGAAAAAAGCAGGTCAGGCAGCATCAGAGGAGCAGGAAAGTTGACGTTTTGGGAAGGGTCC